TAATAGACACTGCGGTTTTGGTAGTATTGCACGGTGATGCTAATGGGGGTCCAGGGACTCCAAAGGCCTGTATATGGAATTGTGGGAACTTGTTTTACCATTAGGAATTTGCTAGTAACCTACCTGTGCCTGGGCTTTCCACAAACTATTACAGATTTACTAGTAGTCTAGAAGTTGAGGTACCTGTTGTGTTGGCTTCCTGTTGAAAGCTTTGTTATATTTTAGTTCATCTGCAGATTCTGATTATTTTTTGAGTTATGTTTGTAAGCAGCCTATAGGAATTGCATGAATATTTGTGGAGCTGACATCATTATAAGTGCCATTTACATTCGCCGAACATTTTATTTTTGATAACCTGCAGATATTTTGTCCATTTTACAATGGAATATCTTTCTAATTATAATACCCATGTTATACTATAAAGTTGCACTATAAATGAATAAACAACAATTTTAAAAATAATGATATCAAATGTTTCAGATCGTAAGTCATATATCTATGTCAATGGGTTTTACAGTCTGTATTCTTATTTTTGTGTCCCATCCTTCCCGCTATGGTGCTAGAATGTTGAGGGAGTACATGGTGGTATTCTCGGTGGAAATGAAAACCTTGAAACTTTTCGACGTAACAATGGCGTGAGGAGCGCAGAACCTATATACGGGACTTTGGCTCAAATCTACAATTCAGATTTCAGGGTAAACTATGTGGCAAAATGTCCCATTTGTCAAAGTGTGGAAGCTAGTCCTTAACAAAGGTCTTTTTGTCCATGTTAGCTTTCATTGCCTTTCATTTGTGATTACAGTGCTTAGCAATTTTAAGGTACCTGTCTTGTTCTTTTATTATAAAAGAGGCTTTCAATTCTAAGGTTCAGTTTGAAAAAGTGGATATAAGGATGTACAAAAATGCCAAGACATAAAATCTTTACTCCACATCAAATAACACTTTTTGATGTCATTATTAAGATATCATTACCGTACAGCCAAAACTGAAGATTTAAACCTTTACTAGGTTATTCCCTATAGGTGATTTGTCCGGATGTTAAATTGAATTCCAAGTGAATTTTCACATTTTAGCCCCAAATAGTTACCTATGTTTTCAGTTTAGTTATATTAGTGCAGCATTTGAAATTCACTTGGATTTTACTCTACAATTCTCAACAATTTAGAGAACCCCCATAGGTGTATACTTCTCTGTAATATAGTGAGTAAAAAAAAAAAAAAAAAAGCACAAACCACTAAATATAATAGTTATATATACAACAAAAAAAACTAATTGCAATATTTGGATACATTTTGCTTACATCCTAGAAAGGTTTTTGGAGGTGTTAATAATGAGGATGTTTACAAAATATTAAGCATGATGACACATTATTTAAACCCATGTCACAAGAATGACTCTCCCAAGAAGCAACAGTAGAGGGCACAAGAGAACTAATTATGAATTAAAGCTTCAGCTTATCAGAAAGTATATTGATATAATATTGTGTATTATCACATACAATTAGCTCCAGGTCATTTACACGAGAGGTACCTTGTTTGCTTTTAGAAATATTTTCATTGTAATATGTGTTCTTTGCTTAAGATGTGTTTAGTTTCAGCATAGCAGTTTTTTAGTATTTCACCCACATTGCTTCCTAGAATTAGCTCTATCTTGCAGCCATATCATTCTGAAGTGATCTTTATATTTACCTGTTTGTGGCCTGGTTAGAGACCATCTCTCTCTACTGTATTTTGTATTGAAAAACTATTATATTATTTTTTTATAATACTATATATTATTTATGTAACGGTAAGAATGTAACCATTTGAAGTCTAAAGAGATGTTTTTTGTAATTCATACAGTTGAATTTCTTACCTTGCTTGCATGATAAAAGCATCAAAGATATGTTTGAAACAGAAATTGGGGTGTTATAGCAATGTTCTCAAATAACAGTTACTAAGCAAGCAATACTACTGTGAAAGATACAGCAACCTTAGAGGATCATTCAGTCCTTCTAGGCCTTATCATTGAATTATGACTGATTTCTATATATTAGACACATGGATAAAGGTGTCAGGATTACTCAAACGATCTATGGAGACCAAAAGTAATATGCAAGTAAGAAAATATTTTTTGCCAAAAGTAGGACAGTGATTACTAGTCTTGACGTCACAGATGTTTATGAACTACTTTCCCATGATGCTTGTGCAGCCTTAAGGTTTGTAGCTATATAGTGAACATTGGGGCATGAGATTGGTTGGCACTTCTGCACGGATATATCCTCTATGTGCAATTACATAACAAACTTATACCATTAGTATGTCAGTGTGAATACACACAACATACCAATCCAGAGCATAAATACCAAGTAAGTCTCGTTTGAACAGGAGACAAGCTAATACCAGGTGATTTTTACAATTTCTAATATGTCTCGTAAAGCGTACATCTGCAGTAACCATTAGGTATATCCCAAGTCACATATGGTGTAGTAGGAACAAAAATAAGATTAAAAGATTGCCGTACAAGAAGTTCCCTTTTAGGGACATCTATTATTTGAAGTTATGAAGTTATTTATAGGGCTTATTTGCTTTGCTTTTAGGTAGTCTTTGTAACTATGTGAGCTTTTTTCATCACAAAACTAGCACACACAGCGCACATACTATGCATAACAGTGAAGGTTGTATTATAAGAATTAAGGTAATTGAAGGAATTCTGTAGACATTGCAAGTTTCCAGTAGCCAAATATGGCATATTTTTCTCTTAAAACACAGTTGATTCTTATATCATATCATTTCTAGAGGGTCAGAGTTAGGATTAGAGGCTTTTATATCTTACTTGCCTGACAGAGCTTATTTTGATGTCATTCTGGGCATTCGGTGGGAATTGTACAAACATGATTTCTAGACATTGCTTTGGAAGTTTGCCCAATAGGTACTTTTCCATGGGAAAAGCCCAAAGTCCCATCTGGCTTAAGATATGTGGATTAACAGCAATAGTAAATTATACATTTGCTCTTATCAGTGTGGAGCTTTTTCAGATTTTGTTCTCACCACAATACTTTAATACATGGCTCACAATTTCCACTCACTGCTAGCCAGTGAACATAGAGTAATAATTCACCCCTGGTGTGTTCCCTGGACTCCACAGGTCTGCACTGAATGAAAGGTAGAAAGCTTGGTTAGTAGTGTAGGGCTTGACATATCTATACCACATATCTGCCTGTTTTTTTAAGGAGCAGAGCAGTTTGTGGTGTCACATCCTATATTGAACAAGGAGATGACACACTGTGCAATACAGCTTCCAGTGTGACATTGTAGGGTGCACAACAAACCCTAAAATTCAGTGCAGCCACATATACAGAATAGACACTGATGTTTACTTTACCCAGTCCCAATATGAGGATTTCAATAAGGAAGAGAGTGAATCTAGAGAGTTATAATGTGCATACCTGAAAAGGAGTCTCTATACAGGAAGAACATTACTTGAAGGTGACTATTCATATGTAAATCAAGGATCAAAGATGTTTGGTTCAGTACACAGGAAAGGATTAATAATTTAACAAAGCAAGGTCACCACAAAACGAACTTAATGTGTCCACATAAATGTACTAGCCATAATATAAAGAAGCTTCTCTCTGTTTTGCAACCTTTATATTTTACCTTTATGAAGGGGAGATTCCAAGAAAGGCTGTTTACTAGATATGCTTGTCCATTATATTAGGTGTTTGCTTCGGATAAAAAATATCATGCATTCTTGCCAATATGTTGTTGCTGTTTCCAGACAAGCAATCGTTTTTAGTAACACTCTTCTATGGACTCATCTGACATAGACTTTCAGGTGACACATCATTGTTCCTACACAGTTATGTGTATAATATTGGTAAGGCAAGACATTCAGGGAAATTTAACCAATAACCAAGTTTCTGATTTTAATGTCAGTTGACAATCACTAAAGCAGATCTAAATTTGTCTCTACAGGATGATGACGTCAGGGAGAGTCGATTCAGCTTTACAGCTTATGGAATGGGGCCTTGTCTACAAGCAAAAGATGGAGTGACTCCAAAAGGACCAATCAATCCACCTCCTCCAGCACCAAAAACACACGACGAGATGAGAAAAGTGTTTATTGACAGAGCAAAGAAGATAGACACAATTTCTCGAGCTGGTTTCCCGCTAGCTTTCTTAATTTTCAATATATTTTACTGGGTCATCTACAAAATTCTCAGACACGAGGACATTCACCAGCAACAAGACTAGATGACTAGGAATTTCTCACATTGGCTAGCACATTCAACTCTAACTGAACAAAACAAAGCTATGGTATTTAAAACAAAAACACTGATTCATTTGGGTATGTGTTTAGGGCTCAGCCACTTGTGGTTAAATAATTTACTCAAAGAGTCCAATATGTATGAGCGTGATATTGCATAGCCCTCTGGTAAACAGATGATTACCGGAAAGAATTTAACTTTGCTTTTATTTATTTCCTATTTATTTATTGTATTTTTTAATTATTTGAAAGCTACAATATACTGCCAGTTGTTGATACACAATAATTACTCAGCGAGCTCTGCATTTACTAGTATTTTTACAATCATTATGCCAAACTGGACCAAAAACATGATTTTTAAGTAATTTAAACAAAAACATGTTCTTATTATTCAAAGCTATCTTTTACTATTAATCAGCAAAGTAATACATGCTAACTTTTATATTTGAAATAGAAGTATGTTAATATGTATTTAAATGTTATGTGCTTGCTGCCAAAAGATATTCTAAATTATGTGTAACAAGCAGTACAATGTTGCTATCAGGCTGTGACGTCAGTCTTAACACAAGGGGACAGTCAAGCAATCAGAGGGACTGCTTTATATACTTTTACAAATATATTTTATGACCGTGCATGCTTTTTAAGGTAAAATCAATGTTAACAGGAATGTGTATATATATATATATATATATATATATATATATATATATATAATTTTGTATTGGAATGTATTTCTCACTACTGCAATGGATCCTGGGTAGGTGTATGCAAATGAGCTCAACAAAGAACCAAATTTTTGCCTCATAATTCCACTTTATACATGGATTCCTCAGAGTATGTGTCTGCTGTATACAACAGCTTTGAAACACAACTCAGGAAGAGGAGCAAAGCACATGAACCACTCATGGACAGCTGTTTTGTTATTAATGTTCATTGTTAAAGTACATACCAACAGAGTTGTGGTGTTGGTATGAACTTTACAAGTAACATCAAGCCTTCATTGCAAGCCAGTAACCAACCTCATGCTGATGAATTGCATTAACAACGAAACAGCTGTCCAGGAGTGGTTCACTGGCTTTGCTCCTCTTCCTGAGTTGTGTTTCAAAGCTGTTGCATACAGAAGACAAAAAAAGGGTAAAGCAAGTCTAATGGCTTGATTGGTGTGTGTATTTGTGTTTGGCAATGTATTAACTATCCACTTACTTCAGGTAGAAGGGGTTTTAATCCACACTTTTTTTTCCCACCACAACTTGGTTGGTATGTATATATATATATAAAGTTCGAAGAAAGCCAGCACTCAAGGACTTTTGTGTTGCAAAAAATAAGAAACCTTTTAATCCAATAGGTCAAGAGGTCGACGTTTCAGTCCATCGTTGTGGACTTTCATCAGGACATGACAGGGCATGTCCTGATGAAAGTCCACAACGATGGACTGAAACGTCGACCTCTTGACCTATTGGATTAAAAGGTTTCTTATTTTTTGCAACACAAAAGTCCTTGAGTGCTGGCTTTCTTCAAACTCTATACATTTGTGCAGCTGAGCACCGTGCAGAAACTGAAGGAGAGCTGGAGTGCAACTCCCATCATTTTTGTATATATATATGTATATGTGTATCCAAAGAGGTAGCAGCACTCACAGACTTTAAAAGTTCTAGTTTTTATTAGTTCATATTAAAAAAAATCACGATTTTTAATATGAACTAATAAAGACTAGAACTTTTAAAGTCCGTGAGTGCTGCTACCTCTTTGGATACCTGGATAACCAAGCCCTGGCTTAGCACCCAGCACACAAGGGATATTATAGCGTGAGTGCAAGAAATTCTTCCTTTTTATATATATATATATATATATATATATATATAAAATGAATAAAAATCTCTTGCACTCACACTTGAAGTCCCTTATTGCCCAGGTGCTAGCAAACCATGGTTATTAGTATCCATTTGTAGTAGGTAGGTAGCAGCACTCTCGGTATTAAAAGTCCAAAGTTTATTGGTATATAGTTAAAAAAACGGTTGACGTTTCAGTCCTGCATTGAGGACTTTCATCAGGATCAAAATATCCCTCTGGTATTATAGTGTGAGTGCAAGAAATTGTTCCTTTTTTCTATAAATATATATATATATATATATATATATATATATATATATATATATATATAATTCACAAAATAAAGTATGAGAAAAACCCAGTGAGGGGTCGAAACGTTGATTTATTGCCAAGCTTTAATATTGAGTAGATAGATAGATAGATAGATAGATAGATAGATAGATAGATAGACAGATAGACAGATGCCTGGTAGAAATATGAACAATAAGTATGTGTTGAAACTGAAAATAATTGTGATGGAACAATAGAAATGAAAAAATATATATATATATATATACATTTCAATACAAAATTATTTATTATTAGGATTGGTAAAGGGATGGGTAATATAAACAATGTTTGGTGATAAATGAAGATGAAACGGATTTATGTAAATGAAAATAAGGTTGTTTGAGTGTAGTTAGACATGCATATATTTGGTAGGGTTGCTATCACATCTGATGACATCAACAATGTAGTTTGGTTCTGCTTGTTTGGCAGAGAGTAATTTGGGCACTGAAAAAAGAGCACTTTTAAGGCCGTATATACATTACTAGATACCATTACTTTGTTGATTTTTAGAAAAAGATAAATAAATTAAATTATGTAATTTTGGGGGAATATTTCTATAAATTCCTCTCACGTGTAATATTTACAAACAGTAATTTTTCCTATTTGGTTTTGTTTTTATTTTATAACTTTTCAAATGGTAAAAACATTGACTTTCGAGTAGAAAGAAATATTTTTCTGAATTAAGATCAATGTGTAATTACATTTTATATCAGTATAGGATATATTTAAGACATATACATATATAAAATCAGTCTAGTATACAGTATTTTGCATATGAAAACAAACATTCCAGTGAACTTAGATGAAATACCAAGGAGAACATCTGATTCCGTAAAGCACTGAACAGTCTGAGGATACCCTCGGCATAAAGTCTATTATACTGTGAAAATTCATATCACATATCTGTTAAGCACCTTTACCTCAATCATAGTAACAAAATAGTCCCTTGTTAATATTCCTGACATATTTTATTTATTTCTAGGTATGCTGCATACGTAAATACATAACTACCATTTTAAGTGTTATTAATCATATTTTATAAAGGATTTTATTGATTTTTGTATAATAAAAAAATTAATATATACATATATATATATATATCATGAGAAGACACCTTTCCTTCTCCAGAATGTACTTAATGTAAATCTAGAAAAATATTTAGCATATCAATTAAGCTGCATGGGCAGAGTTACGATTTAACCAATCACAATAAGTTATCCATGGCCCTCTCTCAGATGGTTAAAAGTGTTAGGTATTACAAATTTGTATAGTTAGGTATATAGATATACATTAACATGTATTTTTGATGTAACACCTTTCTAAAGGGAACCTTTGACTTGTTCCAGCATATATTATATTATAAATATTGCTACTTAGCAAAGTTGTAATGGTCATAGGCCTTAAAATTAAAATATATTATAGATTGCAGATTCATCATATTTTGAAGACATCACTGAAAATTAAATGAACTGGGCAAGGGTCATTGGCCATTCTCTAGCCAAATTAGTTACTACCAATAAATTAGGCCAGTTCGTCTGTCAATGTAAACCCTATTGTTTTACTAACTATGGCCTCTGTTAAATATTTTTGGATAAGCTTTCAAATAATTTCACATTTTTGGATAAGCTTTTAAAATGATGTATTCAAATTGTATAACATGTATAACATATCAATATATTAAAAATATATAAAAATAATGATTTTTTTAAATATTAAATAATTTGAAAATCGTATACAAAAATATTAAATTGAAGAAGATAGAGCTATGGACATTACAAAGTTGCAAAGTATTATATATACATACATATGCTACAATATATTGGAAACTATGGAGGGAGGCGTTATTCCAAAAATAATCTATTTTTATCAGATTAAGGGTAAAATCATGAAGAAAGAAATTGCTAGATATATTATAAATGTGAGACAATATAATAAACTGTAAATAGTATGAACATACTTTATGTAGGATGACTTGCATCATAAATTAGCTTTAACTATGATTACTGATGACATATTTCAGGTTTTAGCACAATATATATCTGGTTGTGAGAAGCCCACAGTATTGATTTTTATCTACATTACATTCTGTTTAGTGATAAATCAAAATAGACAGACAAACAAGTCTACCAATAGCCTAAAGGGTTCAAAATTCTAACTGTAATTTCACTTAGAGAATGAATGCAGCCATTGCTTCTTATTCATCATTATCTTAGAACCCACTTCCAAAATATCAGCTGGGATTTGGTGAGCTATATACTTACTTCTTACTTTAAATCAGGCAGCTCACTTGAAATGCCATTGTTATAGTAAAAACATACATATGAGCATTGGAAAGAGTACTACTTGTGTGTATAAGGGCATAATTTGGGTTTAGGGCGGCTGCCTGTGCAGCCACTCTCAGACATCTTGCATGCTATGTCTCCGACATGCCAATGATATAGGTGTAAAATACAAGTCATGAAAAGAACATTTTAAATGTTGAAACTAACCACTTGCTCGAAATATAGCTAGCACAATGTGTTATGACATTTTATGCTGTAGAAAATAACATCAAACCATGTTAACAATGATAGGGACATTTTATCCACCTACATATAGAGTCTTGCCAACTGGCAGGGCATGATAAATTGGAGATTTTTCACTCAACTGAGAATACTCTTCTCTACATAACTAGTTATATAGAAATTATTTTATAATGTGCTTATAATGCATTTCTCATTTTAATACAGATGGGGGAAAACTGACTTAATATTGATTTTTTTCCACTGTGCAAGTGCAAGTTTTTTGCTCTCTGTACTCTTTAATGAATCATTTTTTGGATTATGTGATTTTTTTCATTGAAGGATTATAGTTCAAAGCTCTTTAAAGGGGTCCATGTTTATCAGTTTTATTTGTTTTTGTTCTTTTTGAAGATTCTACATCAAATAGCAAATAATATTACCATAGTTTGGAATGTTGATAATGAGCATTACACAGAAAAGTTCCTTAAACTCTGATAAGGTTGTGAGATTCCATTGAACAAGGCTTTATCGAGCACTGGAATTATGTTTGATTCGGAAGAAGGAGTTCTGTAAACTATTTAAACATAATTAGTGTTTTCAGTAAAGAGCACAGCACAACACTGAGAGGTATTTGGGATGCCAAGGTCACACTGGAGAAAAAAACCTCATAAATAGAGTAAGTAAGCAGCCTGTCATAAATACTGATAAAGGCACATGTACATTGAAATATAAAATATTGCTAGGAATGATTGATTCAAACTAAATCAAAAACATATCGGTACCACAACGTAACAGCAAGTGATCCTACCCTGGCAACTGTTGATATACATGTAACCCAGTGAAATTTGCTAAAAATATAATTATTAATTGTTTAATAACTGTACAGGGCAGGGTGTCTAACATATTAATACATGTATGTGTCTGCCTGTCTTCTGCTCTACTTTAATCTTGTATAAATCATTTAAATCTTTCTCTCAAGCAGATTATTTCTGTTTTATGTACTTCTGTATTTCACTCCATAATCTTGGACTCTCTGTCTTTGTCATCAATTTATCATCACTATCACTTTCACTCCTCTTTATCTCACTGCATATCTCTCAGTTTCTCATTTTATTTTTGTAGATGACAAAAGAAAGGACCAACTACCAAAAATTAGGAAACATTGAGTACTTCAATATTCACAAAGTAGCAATGTGGTGGCCCCAAAGACAAACCATTTTAGGGGCTAAACGTCTCTCCGTGTTACTCACAAAACATTTTTTTTTGCCATTTGTGGTGTGGAGGTGGTCCTCTAGGTCATTTGTTACAGGGTAAGGACTCTTAAATTTATATATGGGCCACTTCTGTTTTGCATTTGCTGATTTCATTCTGTCCACTTCAATCTACCTGATTTATATTGCTCTCTCGGCTTGCTATTATTATACTTTTCTGTCCGATCCCCTTCTCATTTCTCACTCTCTTGCTGCTAACCTTGAACTGTGTGCATGTTGGAAACAATCTTCAATAACATGGGTGATGTCATAACCCAGCTCCTCTTCTCATTTTTACTCCCTGGGAATGCAACAAATCATAGTTACCCTGATATCCTGGGTATTCCAGAGTTGTTGTCAATGCAGTAAGAGTGCCTATCTAGAGATCTGTCCTGCCAGTGGAAAGTGTGTGACTAAGTTCCCAGACATTTCCTTCTGTACCCTAGTCTCACTGATAGTCTTGGAATTGGTTGACCTTTCATTCATAACTTGCATAACTTGAATAAACAGAAGATGGTAAATATGTATTTTGTTCTAACATGATCTTCACAGAAAATGCAATTCTAAGTAAATGCAAACCTAAGAACTCATGAAATTTTTTTGCATACCCTTTCTAGAAATAACTAATATATTCATGCAAATTAAAGAAGGATACAAAAGTATATGCCCATATTATTCTCCCATTTTCCACTTGGACATAACTTGATATAAAAATAAATTTATTAATTTTTTTATTTTGTATGATTTTAATAGTTAAACATACGCTGTTATTTTTTAAAGTAATTAAAAATATAACGTAATTAACTATAAAAGGAAGTGTGAATATTTTCCCTTAAAATTAATAGTAATTAAATTGTAATAGTAAACTATAAATATATATATATATTCACAGTAAAACATATTTATCAACATTTCTATTTGTTATAAATGACATTCCATGTCTTCCTTAATCAAATATGGTTAGATTAAGTAAATGAACAAAAATGTGCTATTTAAGCAATAATTTATATGTTAGAAAATTTATTAATAGAATAAAACTTACCAAAATGAATTTGAAATATGGAATGTAAAGTTGAACCTTTGCTCAAAACCAGTGCTGCTTGTTTTGAGCATCAGTCTTTTTTATTTGTATTGTTGCATTTGTCAGACATTTGTCTGAACTGACTCTAATCATTGGTGGTGGGGGTTATCTATATTTATGTTAATTTAACCAGTGACATTTTGTCTACTTCATATTAGTTAATGGAGTTTTATTATATTTTTCTGAACAAGTGTGTGAAAATATCTTATTTAGGCATTGATTTAAGAATGGTTTATAAGCTTTCCAAGTAATTAAATGTTTTGGGATAAACATTTAAAATTTGTTTTTTTTCAACATATTAAAATATAAAAACAATATCATATATGAACAAATAAATATATATCAAAATATTTTAACACCAAAATATATTTCATAATATTAACTAATTTCAAAAGTTTATCCAAAAATATTTAATCATTTGGGAAACGTCTCTACTAATATTAAATTAAGGCCTTAATTTGAATTACTGCACTTTAGATTGGAAATATTTTAGGGCTGTGCTCTAGTACATTTTCATGTCGTATTATTTTATATTAAGTGTTTATGCATTGTAATTGTTCAGAGATACTTAATATGACTGATTTATTGTATCTTAGTTGAATCTTTAATTCTTTACTAAGATCAGGAGTTTTGCTCTGTGAAACCTTTTTTATAATTTACATAATTCCTTTTGAATTTTTAATAGGCCATTGGTGGGTTCTTTTTATTAATATTAATATATCAGACTCATTTATAAAATTTATGATTAGAATAAATACAAAATACAAACTCGGTATATCATCTGACACTTTCCAGGAAGGAATAGTTCTCTATGTAATTGCAAGTCTAGCATTCATAAAAGGGAATTATATCTTAAATACAATGATCATCAATTATCTATTGGTAAAATATTTATTCTTAGATAAGCGATACTTACTTTCCCGTAATGCAAATTAAATAAAGCATTAAACACTATTGCACACTGTGTCTCAGTAAATCACACTAAAAGCCTCCTCATAAAAGCCTCTATACTTTATATATTCTTGGTTCACTGATGTTTTACATTTATATTTGAAATTGCTGTGCCTCCGACTTGGAAATTTCTATATAAGGCTGGGTGACTGATATTTCCCAAGGTAACAGATAAATTAACCAGTCATGACCAGGTAACAAAACTGGATAGCAGATATAGAAAGAACTGTGAATTAAGTGGGCATTGCTAATCCTAAAAAAGACCACCATTTCAAAATGAAAATTTAAAAATCTATTACGTATTGAATGAAAGACTTAAATGAAAAAACACTGCTGAATGTGATACGTAGCATATTGCATGCTTCATCGGAAGCAAAACATAAATACAAAAATAAAAAAAATGGAACAATTTGCTTGTTATGCTTGAATATTATTGCATTATTGCACTTCTTCACTTTCATGTTTGTGAAATATGCAAGAAGAAATGTTCATGCGTGTATTTGCATACATATGCATATATATATATATATATAAAGATAATATGTAAATATATCTGGGATTTATGATTTTATGTACTGTGCCATAAGTTTATCATTTAAACCTCAAATTCATAGGGCGCTGGGGACAGACAAGACTAAGGGTTAATGTGCTAGTTAAATGAATTTGGATAGTTAAAGAATTTAGAAATGTAGACGTTAAATTTCCACCCTTATGCTATTTATCATACTTGTTCAATGCATTCTATTGACAAAATACTGTATGTACATTTTCCTAAGTTTTTTTTTTCATATGCCATTGCTAGAAAGTATACTGCATGCTTTATAGAATGTAATATTTCCATTTGTTACTAGCCTCATATGCTTCTGTCAAATGTAGCTTACATAAGGAATTCTGTCATTGTACATATTTTATTGTATAAATAAAGTTTTTCTTTGTTATCTTTATTTATGTTAGGTCCATGATCTGTGTACACAACTTAAATATCTGTAAAGAAAGTACCACATGTAAATTATATCCTTGTGTTTTAGTACATGCAAATCCCACATTTTATTAAAAAAATCGTGTCAAAATATGATGCAACAAATTATTGGAACATTCTATGATGTTATAGCCTTCATTTATCTTCAGCAGAGCCTGCATTATCAGATACTCTGCCCATAAAATACCCAGTAGAACTTGGACTAAAATAATTATTAAGTCTCCCATGTAGGTCTGCATACAATTTGCAGGCAACATGTAGCAGGCAATAAAGGAAAACAACTAAAAGTTGCCAACAGTTTTGGCTAAACCTTTCCACATACTTTTTTAGAAAATATTAGGTGACTGCCCCAAAGATACTTGTTTTACTAGGGAACATACACTACAGATCCACTCACCGAGGAGAAAACAATCAGAGAAACATTTGATAGTTTTATAAATGACTTTCATCTTGGTCAGCAATGCCATGAGGACATGGCCAGAATTACGTAGAGGCTATGGGTGCGACATCTCTAGGCCCAAAACAACTACCATATAAATGTTTAGTTTTTAAGATTTTAATAGCTTCCCAGAGGTCTTGTAGTTCATGAATGTCTGAGAAGATGGGTGATACCACTAGCTGATTGGCCACTTGATACAGCTCTGTGAAGATGATGTTGATCGTATATAGTTAGAGAGTCTTTGGGTATTGTGTCAAAGATATTACAGTTCAGCTTTTCAATTTTCAATAATCTTGGTTGAACTGCTAGCAGCACTCAAATTCAGAACACAAGCATACATATATTTCCAAACCACATGAGTCAGTAAAAAAATAAAAGATAATTCTATTAATTGCACATTGGTGCAGATAGCCAAGCCATCTGTGGATATGAAGAAGTATCCCAGCATTAACTTTTATTTCCTTATGACTGCTTTCAGAATCTTTGACCCTCTAACCCTTATTTCCAGCCCACATCATTCTCCTTTTCAGATGTAACATAATTCCTAGCTCCCTTACCTTCTCATTCTCTACAATGTATTTAAAAAAACAGACTTACTGTCGTCTTCAATGGTTTTCAAGGGACATTTGAGACAAAAAAATGGTTGTTATACTGCCTGCTCAGTACTGGGAAATTTCTGGAAAGCTCAAAAACACCCCACAAGACTTGCCGTTTTGGAGATGTTCTGACCCAGTCGTCTAGACATCACTACTTGGTTCTTGTCAAAGTCACTCAGATCTTTTTGCTTGCCCATTTTTCCTGCTTCCAATACATGGAATCCAAGAACTGACTGTTCACTTGCTACCTAATATGTCCCACTCCTTGATAAGTGCCACAGTAACAATATTATCAATGGTATTCATTTCACCTGTCAGTGGTGTTAATGTTGTGGCTGATCAGCGTAAATGTCCTGTGCATTTCATGCCAATATATCAGTAGTTTAACTTACTGCCATCAATTCAATCTTCTATCTCCTGCATCTAGTGTACATTTTTCTATTCGGTGCTTTCCCATGCTCTCTGTTGAGATCCTCTCTCCATTCCTTAGCCCTGTGCATGAAACATGAGCAAGGAGTAACTGTTTAGCTGGGTTTGTAAGTTTTATTTTATAATATTTTAGTCTTAAAAAGATATATGTATTGTTTCCTAATTAGCTGATAATGTACCTGCCTTACAAAAGGTTAGTATTGGGCAAGATGTTTTCAGAAACGTCACTAAGAAAGCTTGACCGAGTGTGATATTCACAGTCTTTGTATAATCCAAATACATATTGAAATTCTTAATTGAACACATAAAAAGAGCAGTCAGAAAGCACTGGTGTTCAGAATTACAGGATTTACCATCCTCTAACATCAGTGCTGCATCAAAGAACTCATTGGATGCAAAGTTCATGCTGGGAGTACAGGGACGTGGTGAAATAATGGCTGCCACCTTATGAAATGGGGAATGGATAGAGGTGATGTGAATGCTAGTGAAGTTGGAGATGGGGGTGTGTGATTACTAATGAAGTGGGGGAGGAAAGAGATGCATGAAGGTGATGTGAAGGCTAATGAAGAAGGATAATGGGGGGTTGTTAATTCTTATGGAGTGGGGAAAGGAAGCAATGAATATAGGTGAGTCGATTGATTATGCAGTAATGGAAAGAAGGGTTGGGTGTGGTTTGCAGTATGGGAGAAGGAGTGGGAAGGGATGGATGGATGCATCTGTGAGTTTGGTGATATTGTGTGTAATGGAATGAGAGATGTATATGAGAATTATTACGTTTAAGGAAGAGCCAATGAAATGGGGGGACTGAATTTAAAGGAAGGGTTATGAAATGGGGGATATGAGAAGGAATGGATATATCATGAAATAGGGCAATGCAACTGAGGGTATGTTTGAATATGTTGGCTATTTGTGTATATATGTGTAGTTCACTGGCTTTGTATTTTTGTACATTGTTGTGTGTTTGTTTTTAACCTAATTGTGTATGTATGTATGTACATATGTGTGAGTTTGACTATTTTCTTTTGTATGTGTGTTTTTGGGGTATTCACATGTGTTTTTGGTTATTTGAGTATGTGTTTTTAAAACAATAGAACACTTTTGACTATATTTGTGTAGTTGTATGTGTGTGATTAGATACATTATTGTGTGAGTAACTATTTATGTGATCATAGCTTATTAGTTGGTGTGTGTGTGTCTGTATGTGTGTGTGCATGTGTATATTTCATAGATTGACTTCAAGGCAGCATGCATTAACTAAGCCAGGTTACTAGCTGTCAAGGTCAGACAAAATGGTCCTACCATTGAATTTTTATTGTATAATTAAGTGTTGAATGTACTACACTCTGACTGGTGGAAAATGTCTCATTTAAAAATGGTGGTGAGCTGTTAATCATTTTGGATAATCTTTTATTTGATTTAATCTTTTATTTTATTATGATTGTAACAGACCACTTACAAATTGTGAAACAGATTAAAATGTCTGAACTATGTGGATGTTACAAGCATTCTTGTCAATTTGAGAGCTACATTGCTAAATACAAAGATTGATAAGTGTAAAGTGTAACTGTCTCTGAGTGCCACAGGAATGTCCCAATTATGTTCACTAGCTTGGTTGCATTTGGACCTTTATGAGTAACTGTTAGGGATATAATTTAGAGAACAAGATTGACAAAACTTGTGCTCTAAACAGTGTACTAGTTTTAATGCTTTACAATTGTATCCCCATATAATCTTCAAACAGAACAGAATGTGCAGGTAAATAGTTTATTAAGTGCTGTTATGCAATGCAGTGGCCATCTGTGATCTGTTGATTTGATGACACTAGTTAATTTATTCCATTTCATGGAAATTCTTGAACATTTTGAGTTTGCCAAATATATGATATTGATGGACAGATATATACACACACTTGAAAAAGTAAAAGCTACAATACTTTTCTAGCTAGTTTCCATGGTTCAAATACAACGATAGTCCAAACACATTTAGAGCAAATATTTTAAAAACAATTTTTATATTTAGCCAAATTAATACAAATCATAGCCAATGATAACTACATTTTGACTACAAGATTTTAAGGCCAATCAAGTTTTTTTTTGTGTGTGTTTTATTTTTCTGGCATGATATTACCTAATTCCGGAGAGGAGAGCTGAGGTCTTGAAAGGTTACACTTTTAATCTTCTTTAAAGGACCACTCTAGGCACCCAGACCACTTCAGCTTAATGAAGTGGTCTGGGTGCCAGGTCCCTCTAGGATTAACCCCTTTTTTTATAAACATAGCAGTTTCAGAGAAACTCCTATGTTTATAAATGGGTTAATCCAGCCTCCAAATCCTCTAGTGGCTGTCTCATTGACAGCCGCTAGAGGCGCTTGCGAACACCCAAGCGTCCATAGGAAAGCATTGTAAATGCTTTCCTATGAGACCGGCTGAATGCGCGCAGCTCCTGCCGCGCATGCGCATTCTGCCGAAGAGGAATTTGTGATTTGTGTTCTACCTCACAGATCCTCCCGAATCAAGGCCATGTCCGCCGAGATTTTCAGTTGGAAGTCCGCCATGATCTCCCTGATGGCCGTTAGTGTCACCGGGCCGGTGTCGGGTGTCCGATGCGGGGGTGCCGCTCGTTCTGCCGGCTGCCGCACCATTGCTGGCGTGAGGCTTCCTTCTTCTTCCTCCGATGCCCCGACGGAGAAGTCAGAGCATCCTCCGAGGAGGGACGCCATCTTACTCTCTTGGGCGCCATGTGCCTGTCGCCAGAGGTCTCCGATGCTGTGTCCCTGCCGGGGTCGGTCGGGCTTTAGCTTTTTGGTTTTCTTGCCCATGAGGTAAACAGTGGGGGTTACTTGGGTGTTTTTTGGTTGTGGGTCACCTCTATTTTTATGGTTTTGTCCGTAGTTTAGCCGGAGCTCAGAGGCCATGCGACTGTCCGCTTCTGTGGTTAGGCCACGCCCCGATGTCACACCTTTTAATTCCCTGAGCATCCACCTGTGAAACACATATATTGCATTATATTTATGAGTAGGACCATCTATGAACTTCATGCACAAAAATAGAATATTAGTAATTAATTCGAATTATACATATAGTTTGATTTTAAACTACTGCAGTTTCTTTTCATCAAAACCCACTATACCATCTTAACAACTGTGATTGTCCCTCTTTTGCTAAATATTAGAATAAAATACTTATATTTCTGTAAGATCAACATCAACTATGCAGTGGCTGTGATATCCATCCAGTCTATGGTTACCCATTGCAATGTACACTTTCTTGACATCGTAGACATGCATTTACATTATTATTATTATTATTATTATGTTATTATTTATATAGCACCATCAAATTCCACAACACTTTACAATGGGTGGACGAACGGAAATGTTGTTGTAACCAGACAAGTTGGACACACAGGAACAGAGGGGTTGAGGGGCATGCTCAATGAGCTTACCTGCTAGAAGGAGTGGGGTAAAGTGACACAAAAGGTAAGGATAGTATTAGACTAGTGACAGTT